TTCAGAGGAGCAGCCATGTGCCAGGGTGTGTTGAGTCCCCGAGTAAGGATATGCTGGAAACACACCAGGTTCACTGCCCTCATTGTGTTTATTCCCCAGACTCTCTGGGATGCCCAGATCTGAACACTTGGAGTGTTGATGGAAATCAACAAAACTAGGAACTTTTCAGTGAAGATGTAGCTTACAATTTGGGTTAATTAAATGTGGTTGTGAAAATGTTATTATCCGAAATGTCAAAGTCAGTTATCTGTCAATTTATCTTTCTTTTTTATATTACAGACAAAGACATGTTCTGTTGCCCAGGCTGGAATGCAGCGTCATCTATTAATATTATAGCCTAAAAGTGACCAGCTCAATTCATGTAGTCATCTTATCTGCATCAAGGGTTTAGGTGCATGTGGCTGTGACATAGCTCTAGTCACAGAGGGAAGAGAAGTGGTTTGCTGAGTTGATGGTGCTTCTTCAGAAGAATTTAAACAACCCCTCAGTTCACCAGTATTTCTTATAACTGTGCATGACCGTTGGGAATGCCATCACCATTTCTTACATAATGGGAGTTGACTGCCATGAGGTAACAGGTAGATGTGCATTAAAGCCTGAGTACATAAACTGCTGAAGTAACAAAGCCTGCAGCCGATCACATTCTGGCATCTTGTTTAATTAGTTGTGAATTTATTTTCAGTTGCTTAGTTCAAGTTCCATAATTCACTTTCTGTTAAAATAGTCACATACAATATTCTTGAGATATTAAAATTAAAAGAAAAGCTAATTTGAAAATGAACCCGACTTCCAGGAGAGGTGAAAATTACTCTGTGGTGAACAGTGTGAAGGGTGAAGACATGGCTGAATGCTGAGTTTTTGTTCACAAGTGTGTTATTTTGATTAGGGGAACTTCTATTCATCCCTTAGATTTATCAGAAACTCCCACTGAGAACCTTGAACTAACATAATTAGCTGATGGATCACACAACAATGAAGTGAAGGTTGTTAAGCTGGAATTGCTATTCCAACGTTAGCTTTCCTAGAGAACATGAGTTCCTCTTCCTGATGTGAAATTAGCCCAGGTGCACTGATAAGTGCTTGTCAGTTACCGAAGACCAGGAATGGGCACACATGTGTCTGGAACAGGGCGTGACTTTGGGCTGCTTTGCAAACAAAGTGGCTTCTCACATATTCTGGAAAACCTTAAGAATGGCTAGTTAGGATCTCTTAGGAGCAACCATCTATCCCACATTCTTGGCTCATGTAAAAGGGAAGTCAATGCTAAACGATATAATGTGGAAGTTAAGGAAACTGCTGTACCACGGCCTCAGCTCAGCTCAGCAGCCTCCTCTCTCAGGGTTTCTGACACTCTCAGGATGCGGGTTGTCACACTGTGTCTCTGGCACAGTAATACACGGCCGTGTCCTCAGCCTTCAGGCTGCTGACCTGAATATATGCTGTGCTGACCGAGGTGTCCATGGAGAAGACAAACCGTCCTGTGAAGCCCTGGGCATATGTTGGCTTCCCGGTGTCGGTGTTGATCCATCCCATCCACTCAAGCCCTTGTCCAGGGGCCTGTCGCACCCAGTGGATAGCATAGCTGGTGAAGGTGTATCCAGAAGCCTTGCAGGAGACCTTCACCGATGCCCCAGGCTGCTTCAGCTCTGGCCCAGACTGCACCAGCTGCACCTGGGAGTGGGCACCTGTGGAGAGGAGACAGGAGTGGGTGAAGTTTGTCTTTACTGGACTGATCTCTCCCTCAACCCTGGGACTGGGGACCCCCTAACCTGTAGCCGCTGCCACCAAGAAGAGGATCCTCCAGGTCCAGTTCATGGTGAGGAGCTGTGCTCTGGGGCTTCTCCGAGGAGGGGTGTGGTTGTTGGGTGATGCTCTTAGGCACAGAGATCTCTATATTCCACTCAGTTATTTGCATATGTTCATGAAGATGATTGTTAATAGACCAATTCCTGAACCAGTATGAAAAGAGCAACTAGATGACACATGGACGACACAATCGTAGAATCTGAGGTTCAAGCTGTAATCCTGTTAGAGGCATGTGTCCCCCACACATCCATGAACTCTGTGTTGACAGAGCTTCCCCCACTGGGAAACAGGCTCCCCACAGGACACGCACCCTCACTTTGAAACCCACATTTGAGTGTCTCAGGGGCAACTTGAACCATTCTAGACCTTGATAGGTGAACGTGTTATTTTGGGAATGAGTGTGTTACTCCAAAGTGGAACTTATAAATAAGAATCTCTTCCTGACCCTCCAGCTGCTTACTGTTAGGCTATCTAGCAGAGTGTTTGAATCCCCATTTTAAAAGTGGGTCTCATTACAACGTCCAGTTTGACAAATATTCACAATTGAACAGGATATTTATATGAACATCAGCAGTCCTTGTGAAATACTTATTTTAGATATTTTTAAGGAAGTCCAAGGACCTGAGAGGAAACCCGTCCCCAGCCTCCTATGCTGTGCACCTGCTCGGGCAGGAGCCTGTGCTGGGTGTGTTCTGAGCGCCCCCTGCAGCCCAGCTCCCATCCTGCAAGCAGGTGACAGTATATTCCTGCCAGTGTCTCTAGCCCAGTATAAAGTGTCTGTGCCCAGGCCCAGAATTCTCTTTTAGTGACACCATATGCTTCACACACCATCTTTTGAAATACTGAATTGGCCTTAGGCAACCCAGAAAAGACTGCAGGATAATCCTAAGATAAGATCTTATGCATCACCAGGGAGACCTTTCCCAGAGCTCAAGAGGCACTGAATCACTGGACACATGGAGAATCCAAAAACTCTTCAGGGTTTTGGGGGAGAGTCTTATTTCCTTTAGGATCCTGCAGTTGATTCCTGCACCTCAGAATGCCTACAAGTGCAGGTGCACACACACAGACACACACACACACACACACGTTGTAGCTGATTTTTATGTTAATTGGTCCCATGTTTTTTCTATGGAGGTGTTTGAGATCCTGGTATGTTCTCATTATTAATCCTTTGTTAGACGGTAGTAATGTCTTTTTACTTCACACCGTGAGAGACATGATGTCACCATTCACAGGTGAATTCCTGGATATACACACAATGTCGATGGAAAGGAGTCATTTGGCAGTGTTGCCTTAGACAGCCTCTGTCTGATGTCTCTGAGAGTCTGTATTTCTTAAAATAACAACTGGATATTATTCTGTACTCATTACTGACACAGTGTCACTGTTTTGTGTCAAAAATGGATCCACAGTCTAATGCAATTATATTTGTTCCTATTTTGAGGGGCAGTTTTTCAGGTTTTTTCATGACCCAGAATGTTATTTTCTTTTGCAGAAAATGGGCCTAGCAGTACTTTTCAGGCTGGCCATGAAATCCTGGGCTCAAGTGATCTTCCCATATTAACAACCTGACTAGTTGAAAATATAGGCACATGGCACAGTGTCCAGCTGATTATTCTTAAATTCCACTATTTCTCATTCTGCTAAACCAAGTGTTTTATTGCTCTCATGGAGCTGTCATCTTTTCATTACTTACTTATAATAAAAATATATTATGTGCATAAGGAGAACTTTAAGGTAGAAATGATTCACATTTGACTGCGAATAAAGTCACACAATGTAGAGAGTTCTGTATCTCTGTTTTTATGCCTGCGCCTTTAACTATAAAAACATAACAGCCTATGCCATGGTGCACACAAAGTTATTCACGATTCTCAGTGTGACACTCCTGCTTCAGGAGCACAACACTGTATGTGAATAGTGGACTCATATAGTCTCACTGTGCCTCTCGCAGGAAGCTCCCCAGAAGCTCTGCCATATGAGTGAGCAGCAGGGAGAATCAATGGGGTCCCTGTATTTTTGGCCTATAATGCATGGCATGGAAACTCTGCCTTGTAAGTGAAGCTGGGAGGAGATAAACATCCATCACATCACAGATTGTAATTTATTCTCCACCGTAGAGATCTGACACCGTGGCGTCAACTGAGATATGGGGGAGAGGAAGCACCATCTCTTGTCAGATCAGCTCAAGGGCAAGACTCTGTCATCCTGAGCTGACAATGAGAGAGTAATGCTCATCTCTTAAGTATGGTGGACCCTCACTGCCCTTCCTGAGACCTCATGAATGTTTTAGTCTGTTTCAGCTGCTATAAGAAAACTCAACAAAATGGGTGGCTCAGAAATAACATAAACATGTGTTTCTGAATTCCCAAGGCAAGGAAGTTACAGATCAAGATGGTTTTGAGATTGGTATCTGGTGAAGACCCAATTATTGATTCATAGAGGAGCATCATCCTACTCTGTCCTCACATGGTGGAAGTGGAGCCGGAAAACTCTGGATTTCCACATGAGGGCACTAATCTTACTTATAAAGATGGCACCTCAACATCTCCCCAAAACATCTATTCACTTACTAAAGGCCCCACCTCCTAACACCCTCATGTTGGGTTCATTCCAACATGGACGCTGTGGGGTTAATAAACATTCAATATATAGCAGCACATTTTATTGATCAATAACCTTCATTTACTGTGTTTTCTTAGAATAATTTGCATTGATTTTAAATGGTTGAAATTTACATTTATTTTACCGGATCGGTTGTTTCAATGGAAAGCGTGGGGCTTCCTACACCATCACTCCTGTAATTAGATAACTCTATTCATCTTGTGTTTAAAGTTTCTTTCGTAGGTCCATAAGTATTTTAAATATTTTTCTGCTAAGTCGACTGCCAGGATGGAGTTGATTTGTTCACCCTCTTTGATGGTATCACTGTTTGGAAATACACTTTTCTAGCAATTAGTGCAGTGAATTCACCTGTTTTTTATTTGGCTTTATCCAGATATATTTTGGTATATGTTAAACTAGGCAATTATTTTATATATTTTCCATAGTCTTAGATTTTGAGAAAAGCCCCTCTAATGGGGTGTGTTCTCATGTACAACTTGCCCTGGTTCCCACACACAGGTCTCTACAAAGCCGGGGTCACCCTCCTGCCATCTGTGGGGCTCACTCTCTGAACAGTGTTCTGCAATCCTGTGTGTATTCTCTGGTCTCCACACTTCTTGGCCTGTCTGAGATATCAGCTCCTTTTCCTCAGCTTCAGATCTACCTGTTCCTACCTGAGCACTGTGCCTGGAAAGTCTCTCAAGAAGGTGACCATGCATTCATCAGCGGGCTCCTTTTTACGCTTTCCCTCTCTCAACAATCACTGTCCTTATTACTCGATGTAAAATATTTTAAAATCATGTTTAAGTAATGTCACGGTTTTGTATCCAGTGGAAAGATATATCTGGATTCTGCTGTTAAAATTTGTTTGAAAGTGATCATTTTGCACAAAAATATTAGAATCAATTTTATAATGTTTGCCAATATTTATGTATATGTGTGTGTATAATACCCACGAAAACTGCAACTTTGTTCCAGGGTGTCCTGCACGATGATGAAATAATCCTGCAGAACATCCTGGAACAGATCAATGTGAAAATTACAACTGTTTGCAGTCTGCACACATATTCATATGCCTTCCAATAAATTAAGAAAAACGTGCGTCCTGTATAAAAATCCGCAGCGTGTTAGCTCTGACAAGGCACCTTTCTCCCTGCACCTCCAGGCAGAGCTAGGTACTTGGATCATGCATCTGGCTGCTGCTCTGTGACATGCATGACATGGCTCATGCTGAAGCCCATGTCCTGTGCTCCATTATCAGGAACAGAGTGAGCTCTGCACTCATCTGAGCCAGAGCCAGTGCTGGGGGTTTTGGGGGTTTCCTGAGGGGCAGCTTTGACTTGCAGAAGACTCAGTGATATTCCAGGCTTTCTTAGCACAGTACAGAAATATAGGAAATTTCCACCCAATCCTCGTCCCCTCTCTCCTTCACTCAGGTACAGGCCCCCATCTTATGCCATCAGCTTCCCCAGCCTCATTTACCCTCCACACATTTTCCCTCAAAAGGGTTGATGCCCTTCTTCCACAAACGCATGCAACTTAAGCAACTCCTGGAGATTTTTGCTCCGAAGACCAATAATGACACACATAGTTTAGCAAAATTATTAGAACATGAGTCTGATCGTATTATCAAATTTAAAATATTAAGTATTAATATTAATATTGCATTGATTAATGTTAGCATTAAATATTAATCAGTGTAAAATATAAAATATTAATCATGGTAATAATTGGTTTTGAATGTCACCTGGACTGGAACATAATGTCAGTCATTCAATCAAACACGGATTCATGTGTTGCTCTGACGGTACACTACAGGCGTTATTAAAGCCTGTCATCACTTTTTTGCAGGTCAGGAAGATTGTCCTGGATGAATTTGGTTGGTGTGATTTAATCCCAGCAGAAGAGAAGATAATGGAACCCTATGACTTGACTGTGGAACTTCTCAGGAATTCCAGCCTGTCTTTTCTGATGGTCGGCTCCATTGTCTTTGGCTGTGCCTAGCAGACCTCACAACTGCTGTCACACAGAGCCCACCGCACAACAAAGTGTCTATCCTCAGCTCTCTCGAAAGTCACAGGTGAGGGGGGCTCTGAGACAGAATGAGAAGCGCAGGATCAGCTCTTCATCAATATCCCATTCTAAGAAATGACTATAAGTGTCCACTTGCATTTCCCAAATGCGTCCATGCATAGAAGACAGAAGGGTCCTCAAGGCAATGGGGGATAAGAAAGACCCCTCAGCCTGCCGGGTTCTGCAGGAGCCACAGCCTGAGCCACCCTGATTTCCAGGTAATGTGTCTGAGACCTGCGGTTTAGACCACAGGAAGCACACACTCCATTTTCAGAAAAAAAGAAGGAGAAAAGGCAAGTGTAAGAATGAAGCCTGGAGGAAAGGAAAATGGAGCAGCAGAGAAAGGGACAGATGGACTAGTCCTGAGCCTGATGT